AAATTTTTTTTTAATTTTCCATTTTCAAATTTGGAAGAATAATACAATGAATATTCCTATTTCTTTCACCTCGACTGACAAAAAATGGTATTTTTAAGACATCACCATCATTGTCTTTCTTCTGGAGTATACAGAACCCAGTTCTGAACAGGGATATGTTTGTAGCTTTGAAGAATGAAGGGCTGTTTACAGAGCTGCAAGAACAGCTCAGGTGCCATTATCCTCACTGCACTTAATACAGTGACAGCCGAAAGCACAGAGTGGGCGGCAGCTCCAGCCTGGGATGGCCGAGCCTTTCCACTGCCGCAGCGGCTAGTGGTTGGCACAGGGCAGAATGGCAGACCCAGCGCAGCACAAACCGCGCAGTCAGCCAGCTCTCCAGCCAACTGTGTCTACTTCTAAAGTAGAAGTTAGACAAAACATGGGGTTCACTTAGATTGGGGTCCTGAGTAGGTAAGTGATAGGCTACTTAGGTGGAAGCAGAGAAGTATGGCAGAAGAACAATAAGCAAATTCAGTACTTCTGGAAAAAATTCTGGTTAGTTTAATATTTTGATGGCATGTTGCGGTTTTTGCAGTGTCGTGAAATTGGCTAAACGGAACTGTGTTCCCAGTATTCCCTCCCTTGTTTGTTTCTCTGGTGAGGGTTGGCCATGAGAGAGATTTGCATGAGGTTTGGAAGTGGAAGTAGAACGATAGCCGTGCGTCTTCACTGGAAGCCGATGTAGGTCAGGCCCTCTTCCATCTCGGGCACGTTTCCATGGATCTCCTGCACCTGTGGTGTGGGCAGCCACTGGGCCCACAGCTCCTCCCGCTCCCGCAGAACTCTGCCTTTGGCTTTTCCAAACCCTGGGCCGGTATGAGGACCAGCTTCTTGGTCTGTAGCCACAAGGATGAAGGTTTGGGGATGAGGAGAGACCAACTCGGGCTCTGGTGAGAGACAGGTGCAGGTCCCGGCTTGTGGCTTGCAGGTCTGGGTTGTACTTGCTCTCCCCCACCCTCCTTCCCGGCCACCTGGCCTGTGGTCTGGTGAGGAAGAAACAGCCAAGCCAAGACTTTTACCGGCTCCTCTAATTGCTTAGGTCAAACCCCTTTCACAATCCTCTCTTTCTACATCATTGCTAGTGGTTCTTCTCTGGAACCTCTGACTGACAGCAGTGCGTTACCAGTCCTTTCCCTCTGATGTGTTGCTATTTCCTGATGGAAACTGAGAATCTGAGTGATTTGTATTTCAAGAAGCAGTTATGCTGGTTCTCTTTGTTGGTTAATACCCCATGACCTATCTGGCCATTACGGGGTATTTCAGGGATAGGAGTTGTGAAAAAGCCCTTGGCTGGACGTTTCTAGCCTTAATCTTTGGCAAGCCATTTCATTTCCCTGAGCCTCAGTTTCCACCTCCCTACAGCATGAGCAGGTCTGGGTGGGCTCTCACGGCCCTCCCAGCTCTAAGATTCCAAGTCTACGATTCTGATACTAAGCTCTCGACTACAATGAGCATGTGTACCTGTTGTCTCGGAGCAGTGACCCTAGGTCTTGGTGGTGACTTTAAATTCTGAGCTCCCAAGGTAGAGCTGCTTTTCTTCCTTTTAATTATAAATTAGCTGTTCACTGGCTGCGCTTTCTAGAGCCTGTTTTGCTTATCTTGCGATCTCTTCATTTCTGTTTATGGACACTGTCAAATAGGCCTCTGTCTGCAGTCTCCTGGTTTCCCTGGTCAAAGTTGAAGATTGCTAGAAACTGGCCTTCACTCCTCGTATTAGGCGTGTATATAAATTTGTAATAAATGGGCTGGGCGCGGTGGCTCACGCCTGTAATCCCAGTGCTTTGGGAGGCCAAGGTGGGCGGATCACAAGGTCAGGAGATTGTAGACCATCCTGGCTAACATGATGAAACCCCATCTCTACTAAAAATACAAAAAAGCCAGGCGTGGTGGCAGGCGCCTGTGGTCCCAGCTACTTGGGAGGCTGAGGCAGGAGACTCGCTTGAACCCGGGAGGCAGAGGTTGCAGTGAACCAAGATCGTGCCACTGCACTCCAGCCAGGGTGACAGAGCAAGATGCCATCTCAAAAAAAAAAAAAAAAAAAAAAAAAAAATATATATATATATATATATATATATATATAAAATGAATTATGGAGTTAAGAGCAAGTGATAGTCTACAGATGTCATGTCTTTGTTTCCCTGGGGAAACAAAGCTGAAACTATAGGCGCATACCTCCACACCCGCCTAAATTTTTTTTTTGAGACAGAGTCTCGCTCTGTGGCCCAGGCTGGAGTGCAGTGGCGTGATCTCGGCTCACTGCAGGCTCCGCCTCCCGGGTTCACGCTATTCTCCTGCCTCAGCCTCCCGAGTAGCTGGGACTACAGGCGCCTGCCACCACGCTGACTAATGTTTTGTATTTTTAGCAGAGACGGGGTTTCACTATGTTGGCCAGGATAGTCTCGATCTCCTGACCTTGTGATCCTCCTGCCTCGGCCTCCCAAAGTGCTGGGATTACAGGTGCGAGCCACCGCGCCCGGCCAGCTTCATGTGTATTTATAGCCGTCCCCATCACTCACATCACTGCCTGAGCTCCGCCTCCTGTCAGAACAGCCCCGGCATTAGACTCCCCTAAGAGCGCGAACCTATTGTGAACTGCGTATGTGAGGGATCTGGGTTTTGCACTCCTTATGAGAATCTAATGCCTGATGACCTGAGATGGAACAGTTTCACCCAGAAACCACCCCCTACTTCCCTGTCTGTCGAAAAATTGTCTTCTATGAAATGGGTCCCTGGTGCCAAAAAGGTTGGGGACTGCTGTCATCAATAATATTGAATTTCTTGTGGTTTTTTGGACACACCAGGCATGTGTCATCCATTCAAATGCTATGGCTGCAGAGGGAAAGGGTAGCCAGATAATTATCCACATGCTTCAAACCAAAAAGATAAAAAAGTTGGCAACTAGATGTAGCTGCTTGCGGGGGTGACCAGCGTTATGCTGGTGTGTGTGTCCATGCCTCCGGAATTTTTCCAGGGTTATCAATGTCAGTGTAAGATCTGATGGAATTTACTGATGACCCCATTTTCTTCACCAATCAAGGCTCATTCCTTGAGGCGAGTTATGCTAAAAGCTTTTCTGCACCAAGTACTTTCAATCTAGTCTTTGAAGTTGTCATAATTCCGACCAAAGAGAACCCAGACCATTACTGAATGCTCTTCAGGTGACCCTATTTGCCTGTCACATTGCTTCTACAAGGTCACATCCTGCATTTCCTGTGGAACAGCATTTTCAAACTGATTCTAGTGTTTGAGCTGGAACCAAAAGAATGAAACTGTCTACATAAACGCATACTGCTGTCTCTGCAAATAAAGTGCAACAATATGACTGACTTGTAAATATCTCCCAGGACAGTGCTGTGATTTTCCAGTTGATTCTGCAGCTTTAAAGATATAACCAAGTATCATTAGGCTGTTCAAGGATGAGTGGGTCCCACAGAAGCTAGAAATAGTTTACTTCCCGCTTCCATTTATAGATGCAGAAGACTAATATTCACAGAAAAAAATACGTAGCCAAATTTTACTAGATCTAAAACATTCCTGCTTCTCAGAACAACAAAACCAGAGGAGTATTTAAGACAAAATAACAGTGAATGTTTTGAAGCTAAAAATTTTCCGTCAACTAGTCCCATATACACCCTCTACCCTTCACGTAATCTCTTTGGACACTCAGCTCCAATTTTGCCATATTTTTCTTCACATCTTAATCTACACCTTCCTAATTTCCCCTGTTTTTTATTTAAAATGGGAGTTTCGCTCTTATTGCCCAGGCTGGAGTGCAATGGTGAAATCTCGGCTCACTGTAACCTCTGCCTCCTGGGTTCAAGCAGTTCTCATGCCTCAGCCTCCCAAGTAGCTGGGATTACAGGCACCCACCACAACATCCGGCTAATTTTTGTATTTTTAGCAGAGATGGGATTTCACCAGGTAGGCCAGGTTGGTCTTAAACTCCTGACCTCAGGTAATCCACCTGCCTAGGCCTCCCAAAGTGCTGGGATTACAGGCGTGAGCCACTGTGCCCGGCCTCCCCTCTTAGTTTAATTCCTGGTCTAATTGTAGTTGTCACATCCAAACCAGTCCTCCAACAATAGCCTGCTGAGGCTGGTCGCAAAGGGGTTCCAAGCTCTGTCAGTAACTGGCCTGAACTTCAGGCTCTCCCAAGATCTGCATCTTCTCATTGGAAGCCTCTCCCTGAAACAACTGTTCCTCCTGCTACCCTCTGTCTCTGGAGGCTGATTGATTCTAATTCCCTTTATTCCTGTATCCCACGTCCACCTCTTTTCTGCGGGGTCCCGGCCAAGACAGCTCTTCCGGTCTAGCTCACCCAGCCCAATCCTTCTTACAAATTTTCTTAAATGTAACTTCAAGTCAACCAACCTCAAGGTCACCTGTGAGTCTTTCTATAATCATTATTCCATCTGCTTGCACTGAAGCTTTATTCCTTCAATGCCTATTTTTTATGAGACTAAGCTTCTAGTCTCCTAAGTCATCAAATCTAGTGTCATGAGCGGAGAGGTCATTGAGAGGTATGTGGCAAGGACAGAGGACAGCTCTTCAACAACTGCCCTTCCTGTTTTTCCTGTAGGAATCATAATATCGTTTACATGTTCTATCGAAATGGACCATGAGAGTGTAGCTGGCCTTTTTCTTCCTACCATGTACTTGTGTGTTCTGGAGTCAGTCAGCTAGAAAACATTGACCAAGTGCCTTAGGCTTCCACGCCATAGTGTGCATTTCGTGTACACAGTAAAGCATGAAGGCTGGCACTAAACTTAGCTAATGATCCGGTGTTCCGTGTGAATGACAGAACACAGGATAAACCTGATGACACCACCACTTTATTTTGAGCTAAATCCTCGTTTACGTGAGAAGAACAGGACAGGTTTCACCACTGCCTCCTTCGGCAGCTTGGGCGGTGGTGTTCCCACCGAGTTTATGGCTGCAAAGATAGGTCTTTTCTCATCTTTATGTATAAACAGGTACCAGTTTTGATTTTATTTAATCATTTCATACATTAACATACATGACACATCAAAATGAGAAATGCACAATTTAACCGTTCAACAGCTGGCCTTCAAAAGAACACTATATTCATATTAAACATTTACAGTCTTTCCATCTAACTTTACACGTCCTAAATCATTTTCCAGCATTCCTCACATAGAAGTCTAGTTTTGCTCTTTAAAATCACCATCTGTATCACCCCTAGTAGACGCCAGGGTTTCCCCGATTACATGCTGAAGAGAGCCAGCCACCACCCCACCTAAAGACACCCAAGCAGCTCCAGAGCCTGCCTCCGAGGCCACCCCTTCGCCTCGCAGTCTCACTTCCAAGAACTGATTATCTGACACTAGTGAACCAGCACTAAAGGCTGTAGGGTGTGACTACATCACAGTTCCAGAAGGAAGGGGACCATGGCCAAGAGAAGCCCTAAATGACAGAAGCTCATTAAAACCAAGTCCCCCAAACCTCCTGAAACATCCTTAGCAAGGAGCTCCTGCTTTCCTTCAACATGCTTTGGATATGACCACATTCTGGAGGTGGTGAACTGTTACACGTTTGGTGTGTGTGTACATAACATCAAAAATTACTGTGTGAAACGAGAATGTCTGATTAAAGATTTCAATGTATATAATTAGATCATTGACCAGCACTTTCCCAGTATCATAACGCGGCTGACCCTCTTCTGCCTTCACTTTACACCCCATCATAGTACATTATTTGTGCACAACTAGTGATGTCTGTGCGGCTCATCATCCCATGACCAAGTCGGTCTGTGTTGAGTCATGTCATTCTGTGCTGGTTTTAGAAGTCACCATAGGAAACATGAAGTCACATCCTGGTCAAAAAACTGTCCATTTCTCAAACAGAGAAAAACCTGAGATACGAGGCAGCAACTAGCGACACTTACAGGAAGGGAAAGAACAATGACAACACCCGCCCAGCCCCACCCCCACCCCCAAAAAGCTGCTGTCGTGAATTAAGGCTTCAAAAGACGACCCACATTGTAGCTGATAAAACTCAAGCCAGGAGGCTGTTTGAAGGCAGATCTGCACTATCACTTGTGTACTTGTTCCAATGACCTCCTATGTTCAGCTGCCAGGACCGATTCCATACAGTGATTGTAAGTTGAGGACTTGCTCTCGCTCCATTTTGATGTGCCCTTTCCACTGAAGACATGCCGGCCAGCGTTTCCAGAAACAGCCTGGCCATGGCTTTGCACTCTACTCACAGTGACTGATCCAAACTCAGTGGTCTTCTCAGCTTTCTCAACAGTTTTATTCTGAATATTCCTTCCTCACTAAAGTCTCTCTCAGCCCTACTAGTAAATTCGAAAGTCTGAGGCAATTACAGAAACACCAGCCCCATCACGTGCCGAGGGGATAAAAGCCGCTAAGGAAATAGGTTTCCTGCTTCTCCTCAGCAATTTATACCTTTCTTAATCTTCCCATACTTTACCTCCCTAGGTAGTTTCCTATAAAATTCTGCCATATTGTTACATTTTACCAGCTGTATCCATGCAGTGAAGCAGAAAGGGCAAACACATCTACTTTGGCGGAGAACTTGAAGGTACTGCTGGTCTGCTACCACCCAAATAAATTCACATCTGGCTTGAAACCAAGTTCATCTTTATATTTAAAGGACTGACAATCCCATTCTAAATAATTCTTTGATTTACAAAGAGGGAGGTTGACTTGTTAGCCTCCCAACCTTAGCTTAAATCATGATTACCAGGTTCCTGGCAGTTTGGCTGAATCCTAGACAGTTCCCTTCTCTTCATAAAGCTGAGAAGAAGAAAAAAAATTACCTCCATCCAGGCCCACTGGAATTTTGTGCATAGACAGTTTGAATTGGTCTGAAAAGTGTGACTAGCTACCTACCTATTCACAATGCCTAGAAAACGGGCTACTGACATGGTAGTGGTCAAAGCCCCAACTTTGCTGTCTGAGGTACTGGGTTTGCTCTAAGGTAGACCTTGGCAAGGCCCCTAATGGTCCGTCCAGCAGAGTGATGCTCGTGTCCCTCGGCTGTCAGGTGAGCGTGGCTTTGTGAATCAGCTTTGGATAGGATCATTTCTCTTGGATTTCCCACTAGGCTCTGTCCCTAACAGGGTCTACCTACCTGACCCCCAAGCTGGCTCAGTCTCAGCGCTAAGGTGTACTATGGAAAGGACCGGACAAAGACGAATATTTGAGATCTCTTAGTAGCACAGCGTGAAAATGGTAGGGGATTTTGTCCTCCAACACCAAATACACTTGCTTTTTAAGAACAAGAGGATGTGTAATTCACTGAATAAAATGGTTTCCTCTGTCTAGGGGGGATTCTAGCATCTGCTCTTCCATTTTTGTTGAGAGAACTATTAGCTGATCTCTCAAATGCAGATGTTAAGAGAGTAACAACTGGGTCGATCCACCTGTTGCTTTTACACCATAGCTCCATTTTCCAAAAATATATATGTATGTACATATATATATTTCAGATTTACAGGGAATTTTTTTGTGAACGAGAAAAACAAATTGTCTATAGAAGTCACAAGTGTTTTTCTTCTCAGGAGACCTCAATGATTTCCATGCTGCCCGAAAAGCTAGACTGACTGCCCACTTTCCCCAGCTCTTCCCGTGACCTGTTCTCCGACATGATGCTCTCTCCAAATTCCATTTGGCAGCTTCTGCGTTTAAACTGCTTTTCAAAGGGGCTCTCTTCATGCCAGCTCCGCCGTGAGTCAGCTCTGTCACTTGGCTTCTGCCGCCTGCGCACGGAATAGACTTGGTCCCCGCAAGTGGGCAGCTGGCTGCAGCTGTAGGCAGAGTAGCTGGCACTGCCTCCGTAGATGGCTGAGGCAGAGTAGAAGTGTGAGGACTCTGTGGCAAAATACCAGCTGCTGGTCAGGGAAGGGGTAGAGGTCTGGGGGGCCAAGATATCCGAGTGCCAACCCTTAAGGCCCAGGCCAGCAGACTTCGTGAGGTGCTGCTGGCTGGTGGACAGGCCGAAAAGGAAGCTGGTGTGGTAATTGTCCTCCACACTCCCACTTCGATGCAATGGAGATAAAAGGGACCTCTGCGTGGTGCCACCGCTGCTGGTTCTGACCGAGTGCAATCGCTTGCTCTGGCTGTCTGAAGGCCTGGTGGTCTGCGGCTCCTTGGGGATGCTGGCCTCCTCCTTATCAGGACTGGTTTCAGGAGTCTGCTCTGATAGTTCCTGCACAGGGGAGAACTGGCATAGTTTGTTGGTCCCATCCAGAGTAGTGGAAGGTTTGTAGTATTCCAAAGCATCTTCTGATGAGGAGAAGCCATGTAAGGATGCTGCCATGCTGGCGGAATATGAAACTGATTTGATATCCAGAGAGAAGGAACGCTTGAGCTTATTGCTGTCTTCCAGCCTGTCTGCGGACAGGTGCAGCCCACTGAGCGCCTGTACCAGCGGGCTGTCCTCTAACAGTGACGGCTGCACGCTGGGCACGCTGGGCACAGTGGCGGGATGCACGGGCCTTTGCCCTGCTGCCTCTGAGGTAGCAGAGTCGGCACGGGGTGGACTGAGGGGCGTCTCGCTTTTCTGTCCACCCTCTGAGACAGCAGGGACGGGGTCATTTGGCTTCTCCAGGTGCAGCAGCTTGAGTTTGCTCTTTGGCCCTGATGCTCCTGTCTGGTTCTTAATCTTCTTCTCATAGTCCAGGAGTTGGCCCAGAAAATTGAAGTTTGGAGATATAGTAGGTCTTTTTTCTTTCACAAATCTACAGAGACAGGAAAAAACAAAAACCCGAATTTCACAATTACACTTTATCTGATGAATATTCAGTGAATAAATGAGATAGGGAATTATCGGGCAGACCTCAAAAACTTTGAAAGGTGATTGGTTTAAAAGCTCAGGCAGACGCCTCAAGGTGGAGAATACAAAGGCCCTAGGCACTGGGAAGGCCCTGCACGCACCCCTGCAGTATGCCGGAAAGAGGCAGCTGGGCCCCAGAGGCTCTAGTTTGTGCCTCATTTTCAAGGGCCCAGGGCTCCCAATGCAGCTGATAAGAGATGATATGGGGTTTTGTTGGTGGTGGTCTTTAAGAGACAGGGTCTTGTTCTGTCACCCAGACTGGAGTGCAGTGGCATGATCATAGTTCACTGCAGCCTCGAATTCCCAGGCACATGCAGTCCTTCCGCCTCAGCCTCCTGAGTGGCTGGAATTACAGGACTACATGCTTGGCTAATTTTAATTTTTAAAGTTTCTTTTGTAGAGAAAGGGTCTCAACTGTGTTGCCCAGGCTGGTCTTGAACTCCTGGGCTCAAGTGATTCTCCCACCTTGGCCTCCCAAAGTGCTGGGACTACAGGTGTGAGCCACCGTGCCTGGCCAAGAGATGACTATTCACCACCAAGGACAGCCCTGACACACACACACCAGGTGCTACCATCAAAAGTACAGTGTAACAGCCACTCTCCTTCAATTTCCAACGTCATCCCCTCTCAAAGTCACCAGTCACTTCTCAAGACAGTTCACATTTTAATGACAAAAAGAAAATGGTATCAGATGATCAAAGTATCAAAGCAACACTTCTTTTTATAGTCAACAAGACAGAATACCCACGACAAAGTGGTCTGTGTGTGCTAAGCACTATGCTTATGCACTGAATCATTATTTAATCCTCAAAACTACCCTATCATCAGGTGGGTGTCCTTATCCCCATCAAATAGCTAGCTACACAGAGTCCTTAAGTGACTTGCCCAAAGTCACACAGCTACTAAATGACGGTGCTGGATTCAAAACCAGGCTGGTCAAATATCTGGGTCCACTTTTGTAACTACCATGTTAAAAGAGATTCATCAAAGGATGAAAACTAATACTAGATGGCTTTCATGTTTCATGGAGGAAATACAGACTCAGAGCTAACAGGCAAATTCGTCAGCAGCCCCTGCGCCTCATGGATGCTTTTCAGGTGATGCAGGAGTAGAACTACACTGAAAATCTGCATTTGAATAAGGAACAAGAAAAACAAAAAATAAACGTGGAAATCAAGTAACCTAAGCAAATTCACAAAAATAGAAGTAACTGGCTCAAGAATAACTAGTGTAAATGTAGGGTCCTCATAATGAGACTTCATGGCGTGATATAAGGGTGCCTTTTCTTCTGATTTCTAAATGGAGCAGGAGGACTTCAGGGAGGCCTGAACGGGGGCATGAGAGCTCATGCGGATGACCAGAGGACCCATCTCCTCCAGGCTCCTGACTTACATGGGATGGTGTTTGGGCAGCTCATTTCTGTTTTCCAAACTTTCCAATTTGAGGAAAAACAAATGCAACTGTTAAATCAGGCCTGTCGCATAAGTCTCTCTATTTCTGATTCCTGATCAGGTAACAATGAACCATCTCTACCCAATGAGACATGCAGGGGAGACTGGAGGCAACCCAGTCAAAATCACACACACACACAACCTGGCCGACTCTAGAATGTGGGGCATTTTACTGAAGAATGGAGTCTGACAGTTATCTGGTTCATATGTGCACGTATTAGGCTTTTTCTTCCCAGCAATCCAAAGTGCGAAGCAGAACAGAGACTCTGCAGTGAGCATTCCATTACAGCTTCCCCCTCATAGGCACATTTACACCAAGGATACTTTTGCATTTAGGGAAAGCCATAAACTCATGTAACAGGATAGAGATCTCTGCCTGCATCTGTTGTTCCTTAAACATAAAAAGTGGCTGAGGATGAATCTGACACATGTGAGGGCAGAATTAATGCTAAACAGTAAAACAGCATTCTTTTCCAATCTTCGCAAGATCATTAAAAAATCCACAGTAACCTGTAAAAAGTGTGACTAAAATAATCATGACCTGCTTTACTTTGGTTACCCATCCTCATAATTCTTTATGTTTCAGGTCCAATGAAAAGCCAGTCACAGAAGAGTTTCCTGCCCTCACCTGTAAGCTTCATCTAAAGACATGTCCATCCTCTTCATGATGTAGGCAATAGCGATGGTGGCAGAGCGGGAGATCCCAGCTAAACAGTGCACTAGGACACATCCATTGGAGGCTTTTGCTTTCTCTGTATGAGTCAAATGCAAGAAAGGTCACTACTAACCATTTTGTTCAGCAGTGAAATCTTGTTTCCATTTACTTACTCAATGTCTTCCACCTGAAAACCTCTACGCAAATCCCCTCTGTGTACATCATATTTATCCTTGCAAATTCTTTTCAGGAGATAGGGGAAGGTAATTCCCTCACCACTGACCCCAGCAGGACAACTGGGGTCCAAAACTATTTGTTAATAAGCAATCTGTTAATAAGCTATTACTAACTCGGGTTTCCTGGCTTATGTTAGTAATTTCCCCTAAGATATGGGTAATGTTTAATTTATTCCTGTTATGTGACACTTCAAATTTTCCCTGATTACATAAGAGATATAATTACATTTATTAATATTATTACTACTATTTTGAGATAGTCTTGCTCTGTCGCCCAGGCTGGAGTGCAGTGGTGTGATGTCGGATCACTGCAATCTCTGCCTCCCGGATTCAAGTGATTCTCCTGCCTTAGCCTCCAGAGTAGCTGGGATTACAGGTGTGCACCACCATGCCTGGCTAATTTTTGTATTTTTAGTGGAGTCGGGGTTTCACCATGTTGGGCAGGCTGGTCTCCAACTCCTGGCCTCAAGTGATCCATCCACCTCAGCCTCCCAAAGTGCTGGGATTACAGGCGTGAGCCAATGCCCCTGGCCTCCTTATTTTTCTTCAGACAACTTTTCTGTATGTCATAAAATGGCTCAACTTTATTTATTAAATTTTAGAAGAAAACCTTGTATATGCTATGAATCAGGTTTAGCCATTCACTTTAATGAGATCCAAGAGAACTTTTATCCCTTCCTTGATACCCAGGAGGTCTTTGTTGCATTACCTCAATTCCCCACACCACGGTGGAGGGACTCATGGACACTTTGTTAGAACCAAAGAACCAGGGAAATCCAGGCAGTGCTGCCATCTCTCACTGCTGAGGGGCTTAACAGTATGTACATGTGGCAGGGGATGAGGTTATTCCACACAGCCTGGAAGCTACTAACATTTTGGCCAGTTCCATGACTACCTTAATTCTAAATAATTACATGTGTGCTCAGTCATGAAGCTGAATTCTCCCTTTTCATTCTTGGTAGATACTACCAAACGTCTACTGAACCTTCTGTTAAAATTCTTACGATTCACAGATATGCAATGAATCTTGCTTTGGCAGCTAAATAATACAAGGCTCTTCAATCTCACTGCCTGTGTTATAAATATACATAACTTATATAAACTTATAAGTTTCTAGTGCAATGATTATTATATATAACAATTATTCATCATATATAAAGCAACATAGAGGTTTTGGGTAGTATATGAATAATCAAGCAGCAAGCAGCTTCCTTCTAGATAGGGAAACCAAACACAATAAAACAATAACAAATGAATACCAAGCAACACTCAAAGAATTGTATGCTATACAAATAAGAACATAGAAACTCATGTACACAGTCTCATGCCTTCCTGTGCCTCCAGCGTCCCCTTCCTTCTCAGCTATCATTTATCCCACGTTACTCTCAGTGTTTCCTTCCCCTTCTGCCCCGCTGCTAAGAAGCTCAAAGCTAAGGTTTCTACTCAATTTCAATAGGAAGTAGCAATTCAGATTTTTTGTCAGTTACTGTACATTTCCTAGCCCCTTATTACTTGATTATTGCTCCTTTATCTCATTTTAATGAGTATGTGTGAGAATATGTGTATATTTTGGTTCTAACCTATTATTGAAAACTGCTTCAAATCCTTACTGGAAGTAGTCTGGGTTTTTGTTTTTTAACGTTGACAATACTCTCTCATTAATTTTAATAATTATCTCGGCCGGGCGTGGTGGCTCACGCCTCTAATCCCAGCACTTTGGGAGGTTGAGGTCAGTGGATCACCTAAGGTCAGGAGTTCAAGACCAGCCTGACCAATATGGTGAAATCCCATCTCTATTAAAAATACAAAAATTAGCTGGGCATGGTGGTGGGCACCTGTAGTCCCAGCTACTCAGGAGGCTGAGACAGGAGAATTGCTTGAATCCAGGAGGTGGAGGTTGCAGTGAGCCAAGATTGCGCCACTCACTCTAGCCTGGGCAACAGAGCGAGACTCCGTCTCAAAAAAATAAATGAATAAATAAATAAATAAATAAAATTAAATAAAATACTCTCAAAAACTAGATTATAAGGACCCAGAAGGATCTTGCTTGCTTCTAACAATCCCCCAAAAGATTTAACACTAGGCACATAGTAGGCATCTAGCTGATACTGGCTGATACATATTTTTAAAGCGATTTTAATAAAAAATAAGAAGGCTGAAAGGAAATAAAACAATGACAGTAACATGTGTTACAACGTTGAGGTTATAGGTTTCCTTTTCTCTGTTTTTCAAATTTTCTGCAATGTGCTTACAACTGTTTTTATAACCACAACTCTTTTGATGACGTCTTTTAAAAATGAAAAAAACAAGTGATTATACTGGAGTTGAGGTTCATCAGCATGCATCTTGGGAGACATGAGCCCTAAACTGTGTCTTCAAACAAAGGAATTAATACACACAGACCTGGCAGAGAGGAGAAGGGAAATGTGTGCAAGAAAGCCCTGTGGTGGGACTGAGCAAAGTGCTCAGAAAACATCCTGCCTTGGAGAAGTAACCAGAGAGAAGCTTTCAAAGGCGGGAAGCAGGTGTTGGAGGGTGTTGGGAATGTTAGGCTAAGGGCTACATTTCTTTTCTGAGACAGGGTCTCACTCTGTTCACCCAGGCTGGAGTTCCATGGTGCAAACATAGCTCACTGTAACTATGAACTCCTAGGCTCAAGCGATCCTCCTGCCTCAGCCTCCCAGCTAGGACTACAGGTGCACACCACCATGCCTGGCTAATTAAAAACATTTTTTTTATAGAGACAGGATCTTGCTATGTTGACTAGGCTGGTGTCAAACTCCTGGCCTCAAGCAATCCTCCCGCCTCCGCTTCCCAGAGTGCTGTCATTACACACGCTGCACACGGCCAAGGCTACCTTTTTAATGTACAAAACTAAGGAGCCTCTTCAGGTTTCTGAATAAAGAACAAGAAGGCAATGATGATGAAAACTGGAAACGGGCAGGTGGCCATTACTGAAATTAAGGCTAAAATCTAGGTTAACAAAGGGGAGAGAGAGAACTGCACATGAAAAGGGCAAAGATGTAGTGAGGATGGGAAGTTACAAAGGCTAAAAAGAAGGAAGTCATAACTAAGAGGGGTTACAGAGTCCAGCTCAAAGGACAGAAAAAAGGAGAAACTTCAGGTAACAATTTTTAAAATATTTATTAACAGCCAATTATGAGTCCAGTACTTTACAAGGTGTTCAATGCACATAACGTTGTCTATTTTACTTATTTTTATTTTCTCTTTTTGGTTTACTTTTTTTCTTCTTTTTTTCATTTTACATTATCTATTTTAATCCTCGCAGTATTCCTATAAGGTAGGTATATTATCTTCAGTTTCCAGATCAAGAAACTGAAATGCACAGAAGTTTGAAGTAACTTACTCAAACCACTTCACTTAATAACCAGGGTAGGAAGGACTCAAATACAGACAGTTTGCCTCCAAAATACATGGTCCTAATCACTTCTCTATGTTGTGTCCATGCAGTCACGAGTTGGGCATGGGAGAGCTGGAGCAAGAGCCCAGGAGACAGTGAAGAGGAAGCAAGAGGCTGTATACACAGCTGGGTTTGGGGGCACCTCATGAGTATCCCATAATACAAATGGGCAAACTCTGTTACTAGCACATTAACTAAAAAGAAAGACAAAACTCCACATAAACCTGAGTCCCTCCAACAAACCCGGAGACTTACCAGAATCTAATCTAACTAAAAAAAAAAAAAAAAAAAAGAAAAAGAAAAAATCCCTATGAGCCTGTAAGTCATTAAGGGGGTACATCATACTAACCATGGCTTAAAACGCCATGGAGGAGAGGACTAGCAATTATAGTGAATATGGGCTGAATTCAAAAAGTGGCCTGGAGATTTTTGCCTTGAATTACGTGGGTGGGATAAGGATGATGGCTCTAATAGGACCAAGCAAATGAAATACTGGTAAGTATTTGCAGATATTACAAATACATTATAGTATGTGTTTTGTGTGCATGTGTTTAACCAAGTTACAAAGCAGTTAAAGTTCTTTTGTATGAATGAAAGTGACATGATGACCCCAGTATCTCTCATTAAAGGAGAAAATAAGTTGGGAGCAAACTTATTCATATTCTCTCTTCTCTTCTAACTCTTTTCTACTAAACTTTAAACTTTTTCTCCTAAAGCCTACATATTGTCATGACTTAAGAAAACCATGTTCTTTTCTAGATAGATTTTGAAATCTGATTTTTAGCTGAAATTAGAGCCAGTGTCTCTGGATCAATGTGACATGCAATGGGAACGTTAACCATAACTGGTTTTGTTTTTTTTTTGAGACGAAGTCTCACTCTGTTGCCAAGGGTGGAGTGCAATGGCGTGGTCTCAGCTCACTGCAACCTCCACCTCCCAGGTTCAAGAGATTCTCCTGCCTCAGCCTCCCAAGTAGCTAGGATTACAGGTGCCTGCCAGAACACCCAGTAATTTTTATATGTTTAGTAGAGACATGTTGGCCACACTGTCGCAAACTCCAGCAACCTCAGGTGATCCCCCCATCTTGGCCTCCCAAAGTGCTGGGATTACAGGCATAAGCCACCACTCCCGGCCAATTGTTATTTTTAAAGAGGCAAAAACTGAATGATTCGCTGAATGTTGTTTAGAAGTACAATGGGAGGGTGTGTGTTAACTTGTGGGGGTTTGTGATTTATTTATTTATTTTTATTTATTTATTTTTTGAGATAGAGTCTCATTCTGTTGCCCCGGCTGGAGTGGAGTGGCACGATCTTGGCTCACTGCAACCTCTGCCTCCTGGATTCAAGCGATTCTCCTGCCTCGGCTTCCCAAGTAGCTGGGACTACAGGCGTGTGCCACTATGGCCAGCTAATTTTTGTATACCGGGTTTCACTATATGTTGGCCAGGCTGGTCTTGAACTCCTGACCTCAGGTGATCCGCCTGCCTTGGCCTCCCAAAGTGCTGGGATTATAGGCGTGAGCCACCTGGCCATTTGTTTGTGATTATTTTAATGTGAACTAAGTCATTTATCTTCACATGTTTCATAGAATGAATCCTAACTGAAGATGAAACCCTCAGAAACCTGGAAATCTTGAAAAAAAGACAAGTGTTTTGGAATTACTCAAAGTTCCAAAAGCATTAAACAGAATATTCCCCTCACAGGTGAAAATTATAGTACGGGGCTTAATACACATATTTTCAATTTTTGTTTTTGAGACAGGGTCTGGCTGTACTGCCCAGGCTGGAGTTCAGTGGCACAATCTTGGCTCACTGTAACCTCCACCTCCCGGTTCAAGCAATCCTCCCACCTCAGCCTCCCAAATAGCTGGGACCACAGGTGCACTGGTAGAGACAGGGTTTTGCTATGTTGCCCAGGCTGGTCTTGAACTCTTGGGTTCAAGTAATTGCTTGCCTTGGCCTCCTAAAGTGCTGGGATTACAGGCATAAGCCACTGTGCCTGGCCAATTCCACTTTATTTTTATTTTTTTTATTTTTTGAGATGGAATCTTGCTCTGTCACCTAGGCTGGAGTGCAGTGGCGTGATCTCAGCTCACTGCAAGCTCCGTCTCCTGGGTTCACGCCATTCTCCTGCCTCAGCCTCCCAAGTAGCTGGGACTACAGGCGCCCGCCACCTCACCATGCTACTTTTTTGTATTTCTAGTAGAGACGGGGTTTCACCGTGTTAGCCAGGATGGTCTCCTTCTCCTGACCTCGTGATCCGCCCGCCTTGGCCTCCCAAAGTGCTGGGATTACAGGTCTGAGCCACCACCACGCCTGGCCAATTCCACTTTTTTTTTTTTTTTTTTTGAGAGGAGTATCGCTCTGTTGCAGGCTGGAGTGCAGTGGTGTGATCTCAGCTCGCTGCAAGCTCCGCCTCCCGGGTTCACGCCATTCTCCTGCCTCAGCCTCCGGAGTAGCTGGGACTACAGGCGCCCGCCACCACACCTGGCTAGTTTTTTGGGTTTTTTTTTTAGTAGAGACGGGGTTTCACGGTGTTAGCCAGGATGGTCTCGATCTCCTGACCTCGTGATCCGCCCGTCTCGGCCTCCCACAGTGCTGGGATTACAGGCTTGAGCCACCGCGCCCGGCCAATTCCACTTTTTTAAAGGAACTGGTTCTTTTATTTTTAATTATGGTAACCAATTCAGAGTATTTAATTATGGATTAGAGTGCTCAAACTTATGTAACTGGGGAGGAAAAAATTTCTTACATAGGGCCAGGTGCCGTGGCTCACGCCTGTAATCCCAGCACTTTGGGAGGCTGAGGTGGGCGGATCACAAGGTCAGGAGATCAAGACCATCCTGGCTAACACGGTGAAACCCCATCTCTACTAAAAGTACAAAAAATTAGCCGGGCATGGTGGCGGGCGCCTGTAGTCCCAGCTACTCAGGAGGCTGAGGCAGGAGAATGGTGTGAACCCAGGAGGCGGAGCTTGCAGTGAGCTGAGATCCGCGCCACTGCACTCCAGCCTGGGTGACAGAGCGAGACTCCGTCTCAAAAAAAAAAAAAAAAAAAAAAAAAAAATCTTACATGGAACATCAAGAGTCGCACATGTGGTATGTTACTAAGGAGCTAGTAGTGTTTCTCCTCTGTTTAGCCACTGTCCACTAAAGCCACATTCCAAATACACGTCACCAAGTTACCACCCAGCAGATCTGATCCTGTGGCACCAAAATGCCTCAACAGTACCCAGGGGCCAGAGAAGCTCCAGAATTGAACAGGCCCAGGAAGCAGAACAGAGGAGATACTGTCAAGACCACTGCCAGGGAAGTGACCAAATGAGAGACAGAGAGACAGAGAGAGAGAGTGTGTGTCAACATTCTATTAGATCAAATATTACCTGAAATTACTGGCATGTGGACCCCGGCTTAGACACACTGACATAAAGACTTAAATGTAGTGGGATTTGTTTTCACAAGATTTGACTTTTCTCTGTGGAAAACATAGCAACAAGGCAACAGGGAATATTACCAAAGTTTCCCAAAGGCTTGTGTAGGATTTGGAAAAGTTGGAGGAAGAATTTAACCCTAAAAGCTTAACTGATTTTCAAACACTTGCAAATATATAATTACAGATCCTGTGAAGCTTAACCTTGGTGGTGTTAAATGTTAGCTAGAATGTCACAAGGTCAGTCCTTAGGGACAGTGTGACACACACATCACCTTGACCACTAGATGAGTAAGCTGCACCACGTGTTATTTTCAGACTTTTGAAATCTCTGAAATAGGCTCCTTTTCTCTAAAGAAAAAAAGGGGGGCTGAGGGGGTCCACCTACACATGAGACGATCACCCACAGGACCTGTAATATTATTTGAGCTACTTACCAATGAAATCTACTGATTTGTCCAACCATGGCAAAATTTTCTCACAAAAGCTGTCATTCACAGGCACACGCAGGAAATGAGACTCAGGGATAAAGTCAGGCTTTGGACAGGTATTGCTGGCATTTAACACATAACCAATCCCATTCTGCTGCATCAGCTCCTATGGAGAGGAAGAGCAGTTAAAGTGACTAATAATATGGTAAACATGATCATTCTGAAAGAGTGAAGTTTAATGCGATGATAAAAATGCCCAGTTTCCTTGAAATACAACTCATTCAGATCAGTGAAGTCCAAAAACCCAGCAAAATGACATATAGACAAGTTTTAAGAAAAAAAAAATTTAAGAACAACAAAGGCTATTTAAAATAATATGCTGGAAGCCCACACATCATTCATATAGTCAAACCTCTATTATCTTCATTACTAGAGAAGTGGAACAAAGAATACAAAAGAAAACAACAGTTTATACGATTTTAGAATATATGGACACACAACATTTTCTTCCCACACAGAACACGCTGGTTCTCTAAGATACAGTTCTAGTCATTCTTCTCACTCTAAATACTCTCTTTGAAGGCTGCACTTATTTATATAGCCTTAATTACCAGTTCTACATGCTGATGGCATGTGTGTGCATGTGTGTGTGTGTGTGTATCTCCTCTTAAATTTCCAACCCATATCTCCAACTACCTACTGGCTATCAGGATGTTCCACAGGCCCTTCACATTTAAAATGTCAGAAACTAAACATACTCTCTTTCTTCCTGTTCTGCCCCCAACTCCTGCCTCATCTCTGTAATCCCCAAATTGGTTTAGGGTAATAACATCGACCTAGCCAGCTGAGCTCGAAAATAAAATGGGGCTTTCTCTTCCCCATGACCCTCATCCAAACAGCTGCCAAATCCTTTTGGAATCACCTCTTCCATTGATCCTCTCCTCTCTATACCCATTCACTGCTCAGTAGCCAAGATAACCAAAAAAGTCACCAGGAGCTCCTGAAGTTTGCAGTGGTTTTCTCTCCAAACCATGTTCTGAACAACTAGAGGAATCTCTGTTATGATGAACTCCCGGCTGGGTGCTTTATCCACATTCTTTTCATTTCCTTGAGTCTCATTCCCTGCTCCTGTCCCATACAGCACCCCCAGCATCAAATGTATACCCGTCCTCTGTGCTTCTGTTCACACCGTTCTCGTGCTTAGAAAGCCCTGTCCTCCTTCCGGAAGACACTCTTCCCACTCTTCCTACTTTGTGTAACCTCATCTATGAACTCTTTCCCACTGATGCATAATTAACCATTCAGTTCCCTGTCCTTCCAAAGTACTTTGTTCACACCATTAATTAAGCACCTAGCATAGTGTGTTAACATTAACAGATAATTCTCATCTCCCCTGTTATGTAATGAAGTAATGAGTGAGATCTTGGACCGAGTCTTGTTTTCGCACCTTCAGCCCAGGTATAGAGTTGCACTCAAAACGAATCTGTTCAACTGACATCCATCCACCATTTAGCAGGCAAGCCCACACAAACCTGTTTCATTTAGTCATCCCCCTCCTGACTCTCAGGAGATGTTCCAAGCCTGGAATAATTAGTCTAAGCCATCTTGGTCATTTCTTCCTTCTCTTGGAATACTACCTTTTCTACAAATCTTTTCCAACTACCTGAAAGAAAATTGGCAATTTTCTTCCTATATTATCCTTCTGAAACATGCCAGTTCCCTAATCTCTTCATTTACTACATTTGGCACAATAAATATACTCTATTTTACATAAAAGGTGAACAACGGCCGGGTGCGGTGGCTCATGCCTGTAAATCCCAGCACTTTGGGAGGCCGAGGCAGGTAGATCACCTGAGGTCTGGAGTTCAAGACCAGCCTGACCAACATGGAGAAACCCCATCTCTACTAAAACTACAAAATTATCCAGGTGTGGTGGCACATGCCTGTAGAAGAATCACTTGAACTCAGAAGGCGGAGGTCGTGGTGAGCTGAGATTGCGCCATTGCACTCCAGCCTGGGCAACAAGAGCAAAACTCTGTCTCAAACAAACAAACAAAAACGTGGACAGCATAAATCCAGATTGTGTATGCAACCATCTCTTGTTGAGATGACAATGTCAATAAACAGCTTTTGGAACTAGGTGGATTTCTTAGATTGGCCAACACCCTTCAGATATGCCAGAGCCCAAGTCTTCTGATGGTCTCATGCTTCTGTTAGGTTAACAATCAGGCTACATAGATCTTAATGGTGTTTACTACAACCTTTAAACTTTTGTACATGTGCAAAGGTTACATTTGTTTTTCTATGTGTGAACCCAAGCTGAGTGTATCTAGTACTATCTGATCAACAACAGGGTACAGGAACTGGTTCAGGATCACCCATGTAAGAACAGAAGTGGGTCACTGGAGTTAAATTAAATCAGCCTTTGGGGACTTTCTCACCAATAGTCCTTTCTACCAATGGTACTACAGATATGTTAAATTAATAGTAAAGGAAATTAGTAATATCCCTATCCACTCAATTCAATAATGAAGATATTACAGAAGTTTCTGAGAAATGAGGTGACTTTAATAGTGTTATATACTGTACACAATCAAAAGACAACAAGAAATTCTAAGAGAAAACATGTTGCAAGTCAATAAGAACTGTCAAAATTGATTTTCCATAGAAAGAATACAACGATGTACACTTCTGACAAGTAACCTTAATAGCCTACATTTTATAGAAATTACAACTTAAACCTATATTAAGTCAAAAAATATTTATTGAGTACCTTTGTTAGAGACCTATTAATTATACAATGGCACATGGTACTGATTAAGAAAATGATATCTAACATTTAATGAATGCCTATGATGTGCCAGGTACTGTATTAAGCATTTAAATGGACTGTCTCATTTAATTCTCACAACCACCCTTTGATGTGGGTTCAATTATTGACCTCCTGGGGTCAAGTGATCCTCCTGCCTCTGACTCTTGAGTAGCTGAAACTCCAGGCATGTGCCATGGTTCCCCACAAATTTTTTACCATTTTTTTGTAGAGACAGAGTCTCGCTATATTGCCCAGGCTGCTCTCAAACTCATGGCCTCAAGCGATCCTCCTACCTTGGCCTCCCAAAGTGCTTGGATTACAGGCATGAGCTACTACATGCAGCTAGTAAAATATTTTAAATACAAAATGAACTGAGAAAAAATTTAATTTCAATGGCTTTATTTATAAAATTTTTAGCTTAAAAGATCTATTGATTAAATCTACTATCCAGATGCTACCTGAAAATTTTTTTGGAATAATAAGATGGGACTTGATACATAAAACAAGCACAATTTTTAAAACAAACAAACCAAAAAAAAAAAAAACAACCAAATCCTTAAATACTAAATATAATTTGGCTACTAAATTAAATATCATAAATAAGTGCCTTCTCATCTGGATTAGTAGTCAGTGGAAAAAGTCAGTTAAGGGGGAAATCATTAAAAATGATACATACATACTCAAAACATTGTTTTAACTTAAAACAAATAAATGTACATGAACACACTGATTTCTGATGCAGGACCACAGCTTTTTCTTGTCTAGTTTAGCTGACTGGAGTTCCTAAGCAAATCACACCTAAATGCATCTACCACTTACAGTTTTCATTTTTTAAAGAAGAGCAAGAACTTGTAAAGCACTATCAGTGCCAAAGCCTTCTAGATTATAACCGTCCCCCAAATACTTTACAGCTCCCTTATTCCCACCTAATTTGACATATATACATATATACATATATATATATATGATTCATCTTGTTTGTAATGGTGAAATTGAGATGGAACTATAATTATGAAGAATGAGTCTGATTATTTTGTGGAATAAGGATATATATATATATGAAGCAATCTGTCCTTCCTGAATCTTTCCAAAACACCTAACTTAGGTCACAGAAAAACATCTCTCCTCCTTCACATTTCATTGGTATGTATCATATTTTAATTAACATACATAATTATAATAAGTCCAGTGGCCTAAACAAGTTCAAGAACAAACACAAATGATTCTTGGTAAGTATGCTATTCAGATGGTGGAGGCAGACGTGCTACAGCAAAGAGCCTACTCATGCAGCAGGCATTCACCTGCCAAAGACATGGGGAAGAGATGAAGTGGAATCTCTGGAGTTGGTTAAGAAAGTTTCTGAAGTTTCATATAACTGTTGTTAGTTTGCTCTCTTGATTTTTTTTAGATTTTTTTTTTTTTTAAACAAATTTCCATACAAACAGCTGGGAAGGGATCTTAATTTTTTTGGTGTTTTTAAGAGACAGGGTCCGACCACGTGGTCCAGGCTAACCTCGAACTCCTGGATTTGAGTGATTCTCCCGTCTCAGCCTCCCGAGTAGCAGGGATTATAGGCGTGTGCCACCATACCTGATTCATCTTTTTGTTTGTAATGGTGAAACTAAGATGGAACTATAATTATGAAGAATGATTCTTTTGTGGAATAAGGATTGCTTTTATTTATAGATACGTGTCAATGACTTCTTACTAAATTATAAAGAGATATTTATATAATTCATTCAGTTTAGTTTCAGCATGTTGTATAAAACATACACAGCTGAGTATTTACTCTGTCCTACAATTAAACATCACAATCTTTAAGCTTCTAGAGAGCAGTCATCATATGCTGTTAAATATTTAGCTCAACTTTGTGCTAAGTGTGCAAATACACACTTTCTACTGATTAGATAATCCTTCTTCACCGGCCTTCAAAGATCCTTCCAACACCATGGCCTCACAGTTCTTTGAACTCCTCATCTTGGCCACTCACTCCCATGAGAGCTAGCCTGGTCTCTGTCACTACCAATAACCACAAACCCTCCATAAGCTTGATTTCATGCACCCTACTCTTGGATGACTCTTCCACTTTCCAGCTCACTCTCTCTTACACTACACTCCAGAATCTCAACCCCTGCAGGAGGACCTACAGTCTGATGATCTACCAATTGTCTCTGTCCTTCATCCCCATGATGTCTGCCTTCCTTGCCCAGCGTAAATTCTATCATCAGTTATTACAATCACTCCTCTCCTTTTACCCTAACTTCCTCTGCCCTCATCAATTGTTCGTACTCACTTGGCAAGATTACAACCTTAGTTAAATCTAGTTCTCCACCTAGTCAAATACCACTGAGCAT